AAGAACACAAGCTGCCTCACCAGCCCAAGGCCCATCGTCTCTCGGGCCGACAGTGGTATCATCCATGCACAAGAACATCAGCCACCAGCATACTCGATCTCAACCGCCAATGCATACTCAAATATCCTTTGGAGGTAATCAAAAGCAATCAGTAACCTCACAAGGGCAACAAGCAGTGGCACCGACTTCTAATAGCAACCAGGTTGGGTCACCCACAACTTCTTCCATTTCCAAAGGAGCAACTAGTGGGAGCCCGAGGACAACTTCATCCGCTTCAACAAACAACAAAGTGAGTCACGGGACGTCCTTTTCTACACAGCAGCCCAAAAACTCACCTTCCATGCCCACCCAGAAATCGCCCTCAATTCTCGGAAATCCTCATGGGCCAAAAAACCAAATGCAACAGCAGCATTCACAGCCCAAGACCATGCAGCAGCAGCAGCAGCAGCAGGCCCAGCTATTCTTTTCGAGCCCATATACCCAATCACAGCCTCATTACTCAATGGGGACAGCAAGCTCGGCTGCTGCCAGCTCAAGCGGATACTACATGACACAAAGACGGCCCACCGGGCCTGACCAGCACCAGCGAGGTCCAGGTGGCAATCCCATAATGTCCTCTAGTGGTGTACTGTCATTAAGCACTCCCGTTTCATTGCCTAATACGAGCACCAATGACCCAGCTTCAGCAATTGCAGCGGCTACTTGTAATGCGAAAGGAGGTTTACAGTTACAGAGCATGATGCATGGGTCCCCATTTGGTGCCCAGTCGAGCGGGATTTTGCCAGCTGGATTCTCGTACGTACATCCTGTGCCGGCTGGGGTTCAGGTGAAACCTGCTGAGCAAAAGCAGACTACCGGTAAGTAATTGATCTTATTGTCTCGTTTTACCTCTTTGGTTAATGACTGGGATGATTAACTATTTATAAAACCCATTTCTTGCGTGAATTTTTTGCATCCATTTTGGTTTACTCTATTTTTTTGAAATCAACGTGTAGCGTGATGGTTCGATGTTTACGGTTTCTTGACCAGGAAATGACAATTTGCATCCATGGCAGCCTGAGAAGAAATGAAAAGGATCCTGCAGTGGAGTATCTGACCTGATAACGGTATAATGGCGCGCACCGCTCGTGTGGAGTGAAGAAAAAAGGATGGTGGCGAATGTAGCTGGCCTGACGTGTATAATGCTGTGAAATCGGGACGAATGTGTGTTTTTCGTGTACACTCATCTATATGTTGGCAGGGTTCTTGATAGGTAAATATGCTATTTTGAAAACTGAAGGTAGTTTTGATGGCTTTGGTGTTAGGGGAAGGTTAATCAATTATTATTATTATTATTATTTTTTTTTTATTTCATTTTGTTTTTGTATGGACAAGAAGTTAGATGTTAGAAAACAGATGAGGAGTAATTTGAGATGATACTCCCATCTGGGTTTTGTTTTTTAGGTAGTGGAAGTTCTTTTTTCATTCTGAAGGAAAAAAAATATATATCATTTGTATCTCATTTTAGCTCTTTACTGCTGCAAAATTGTCTTCAATTTTTGTTCTGAAATACCCAAAAGAATATGAAAGTGAAAAAAATGGTAGTATTGAGGGTTTACATATATA